CTGTGACAGGTGTAGTCATAGAGTCCTCCTGTCAGACAGTGCAGGTCTGTGACAGGTGTAAACAGAGTCCTCCTGTCAAATAGTGCAGGACTGTGACAGGTGTAAACAGAGTCCTCCTGTCAGACAGTGCGGGACTGTGACAGGTATAGACAGAGTCCTCCTGTCAAGTGTGGGATTGTGACAGGTGTAAACAGAGTCCTCCTGTCAGACAGTGCAGGCCTGTCACAGGTGTAGACATAGAGTCCTCCTGTCAGTACAGGATTGACAGGCATAGACAGAGTCCTCCTATCACACAGTGTAGGACTGTGACAGGCATAGACCGAGCCCTCCTGTCAGTACGGGGTCACGTGGTTCAAACACAAGCCTGCCGTTAACGCCTCTGTCACATAGCGTCGGATTATATTCTGTGTATTTTAGGAGCAATGAGGAGGCAGTGGAGCCCTGTTGTATAGTGTGCATTTATCCTAATGTGCATTTGCTCTAAAGGAGCAAATTGCGAATCCTGCCACAAGCCCTTTATCCCTTTAATCAGCAAATGCTAATAGAGAAAGTAGTTATTGACCAAATAGCCAGGGATGAGAGTTCTTTGCATTTTAGTTCTGCTAGAAAACACCTTTCAGACATGGAAATTTGGAGCATCCAACTCTTTCTACAGGTGCTGCAAGAGGCGTTTAGTCGGTGTGTAGCTGTCTTGAATCGCTCGAGTAAACCAAGTGATATGTCCGTCCAGGTGAGGCCAGAACGTACAACTGCTCCGCTCACGGTCACTGGGCACACTGGCCCCCGGATCGATGTAGAGTGAGGCCTGGAAACGGCCATCTTGCACAGGGTCCAGGTGATGCGCATAGCTGCTGTCTGTGGACTGTCATTTAAGGGTCACTGCAGACACCAGTGACAGTCTCTTGGCTTCAGTTTTTTTCTCTTAAGTAGAGAACAGCCTCATGAACCGGAGGCACCCACCGTCCAGCTCCAGGCACTGGCCATTGTGTCACGCTCCTGTCTTTTCATCCCCTCTCCTGTGTCCCTTCTCTTAGGGAGCTCTGGGGTTTAGTGGTAAGGAATTGATGGTGCCAAGCAAAGGTACAGGGTTCAGATCCACCACCTTCTTTGGGAGAAAGGAGGGCAGTCTCCGCCCCTGCAGGTGACCACCTCTGACAACCCACTGGAGGGTCTGCTGTGGATCGGTTCCAGCTCCAGTGTACGACAGCGTCCCGTCCTCGGGATTTCAGTCAGGGAGCTCTAGGGACCATCCGTAGGGAGCTGTGCTGCCAACCCAAAGGCTCTCCTCTCCGGAGGTTCAAATCCCCTAGCCGCCCCTCCCGTGGGATCTGCAGCCTCTGAAAGCCCATCAGCGCTGAGTGGATTCTGACTCTGGCAATGAGAGAGAGTTTTAATGAACATCATTTTTGTTCCGCTTGCAATAGTTCTGTTCTTAGATAGAAAATCTATGAAGTAATGTAGAGTTTGTTGATTTTGGGTTTTGTTTTGATATTTTCTTTAAATGTAATTCTTTAATTATGCCAAACCCCGGTGTCACAGTATTTAAAGACGCTACCAACCAAAATTCTGGCCATTTGAGCCTGTCTGCCTCCCGGTGCTCATCTAGCTCCTTCCTCGTGAGTGTCTGCTTGCTTCCACCTCCCCTGGTCATTCTTTGGGGCCCATACCCAGTATTAAAATTGCTGGATTATACAGAAATTCTATTGAGCTTCTTTTTCGCAGCCACCACACTTTGTCCACGGCGGGTGCACCATGGACATCCTCAGCAGTGTTCCGTTGTCTCCAGTTCTTTTTCCTTTTTTTTTAATTCAAAGTGTAGCCATCATAGCAGTTCTTGTTTCTCATTGTGTTTTGATTTGCATCTCTTCCGTGAGAGATGATGAGCATTCCATGTGCTCGTTGGTGTTTATTTCTCTTCTCTGGAACTGACAGGAAGCTTCAGTGTGAAGTCAGTGAGCAGATAGAAATGTTGTGTTTAATCTTGGCCTGTTAGTCACAGATTGCAGCTGCTTTTGTTTCCACTGGGGCTTAAATCAAAGTGCACAGTGGGCCAGTGGCTGTGTGCTTGGCTTTTAGACACAAGGGTACAGCTTAAACCCCTCAACAAGGCAGAGATGAGACAGTCTGTTTCTGTGAACGTTTCTATCCTTAGGAACTTTACAAGACATTTGTACTCCAGCCTACAAAGTTACAATGAGTCAGGGTCTCCATAGAGAGAATACACAGGGGTTTGTCGTAGGTGTCTGTATAATGAACACACACGTAGCTTTACCATGTCATTATGTACCATGGAGTTGAAACCGGTCTGTAACCAACCCTCCAGTGGGTTTTCAAAGGCAGTTAATCGCACGGCAGATGATTGTCTTTCTCACACAGAGCAGCTGGTGGCCTCAAACTGCTGTGCCTATGAGGTTGCAGCTCAGCTTCTTTCCACTAGGCCATCAGAGCTTGCTATAGAGAACACACGTGGGTTTATCATGTTGTTGTTAGGTGCCATCACAGCAACCCTATGAACAACTGATCTGAGCACTGTCCTGTCCCGTGCCAGCCACACAATCTCTCACTCGCTCAGGCCCATTACCACATCACGGTGTTGCCAGTCCACCTGGTTCAGGGTCACCCTCTTCTCCGTCCCTCCACCTCCGACCTGTGGTATTGGAGAAGAGTGCTTAAGATCCCGTGGTCTGCCAGAAGAAAGATCACCGACATCACCCGTTTGCTCTGCTGCAGGTGTGCGGACACATCAGCAGGTGCTACAGTGTTGCTGCTCAGTTTGAGGAATGCCGGGAGAAGATGACCGAGATGCCGGGTATCATCAAAGATCTCTGTCGGGTGCTGTATTTCGGCAAGGTGGCGTACACTTGTATCTTCTATGAGCAGTGGGTTTTCTTGTCCTGCTTGTAAAGAGCTGCTTTTCCCCTCAGAGTACTTTTAAGTGAGCTCTTTGGATCTCTAAAAGCATTTTCCAAGGAAATCTTGTGGTCAGGAAGGCTTTGTCCCTAGCGTAGAGTGGCATGTCCCAAATATTACAAGAGCGTCAAGGATGAAAACGGAAAGCTGGATAAACATGGAATTAAAGGACACATATTTACATAGGAAACGTAGGAGTCAGGCCTGGAGGACAGGTCGGAGATCTGGAAGCTCCTCTCCTCTCGCGTCCAAGACTGTCTCGGAGTGTTGGCTATGCTGGGAAGAAGACAGACCTCTCTGATGCGCAGGCAGAGTGAGAGTGGGGTTGGAATAGAGCAGGAATGTGATGCTGATCTTGGACCAGCGTCCCCGGAAGCAGGGAACTGTTGAAAAGGAGACCCGTGTGTCAGCTCATGTGCCAAGAAGTGTTTAATATGAAGGGGCACTCTGATGCAAGTAGATCTTTTTTTAAGAAATTTTTGTTTTATATTAGTTAGCTCTTACAAATTAATTTTACATTGAGGTTTATACTAGCCTTCATTCACATTGTATTTCATACAATCATTCCCATTCATTATATTTTATAAAATTAATCAACATTGAACTATGCCCACCATTGCCCTGTCTTTCCAGATCCCTTCCGGACCTTTCCCATTTCCTTTACCCACCCCTCCCTCTACCCATCAAATTGTGTGACCCTGTGACTCCCCCCACCTGTCCTCTGCTCCTACCCCTCACCCCCTTGGATCCTCATACACTACGCAGCACTCTGGAACAACGATTTCAAAAATTATGGCATAACTTGGGAGGGACTCGAGGGCATTATACTGAGACAACTGACACATGAGGACAAATACTGTGTAAAACTATTGTAGAAATAGAAAGAAAACTAGTAAAACATGTGTGAGGAAGTCAGTCTACACCTGCAGTGCAGTTGTCATTGATGCCCCTCAACCTGTGAGTCACTGATTGATTCATAATTAAAGTTGATATAAACCGCACGAGACAGTGACAGAAGAATGCAACGACAATAACTAATACGTCATCACAGCATCACTTTGAGGCTTTAAAGGGTGAAAGACTTAAATTGTAATTAGAGTTTAAAACAGGAGGAGGTGAACATTTTGCACCATCAGCATGCCTTTACAGCAGCCAGTGTTTGGCAGTTTCTTTTAGGCCTGTACCTGAGTGTGTTTTCTTACCCACTCAGAATATCCCACGAGTGGCCACCCTCGGCGTGGAATGTGTCAGCTCGTTGGCTGTGGACTTCTGGCTGCAGACCCACCTCTTTCAGGCTGGGATTCTCTGGCACCTCCTCTGTTATCTGTTTAATTATGACTACACGCTGGAAGAGAGTGGTATTCAGAAGAATGAAGAAACCAATCAGCAGGTAAGTCGCCACCCCTTTCCTGTGGGATCTGAACCCAACCTGCATATTAGAACTTCAGTGTGAGCACCCCAGGAATGAATGGGTTTTCAGGTTAACCAAGTGTACTGTTCTCTTAAGTTTCAGAACTTTTTATCTTAACCACTTACCTGGAAGGATTTAAGGCCTAGGAATTTTCTGTGGGTATAATGGGCAGACTTTACATTTGCACTTGATGACTCAGTCACCTGTATGATTGCAAAATTGTGGTTGAGACAAGCAATACCATCAGTCTTTACATTGAGTATTATCTGATCGTTTATAGATACTGTTTCTCTCTTTTCTTTTTCCTGTCCATTCATGTTGTCATTGTGTGTAGCAGGCAAGTCCGCCCTCCCTCCCTTTGAATGTGCTGCTTCTAATTCTCTGAGTTGCTATTTATTTTTTTTTTAAGCTACAGGCAAAACTAACTTTAAACTCATTGCCATCAAGTCAGAACTGACTGGCTGGCTCTCCAGCTAGATTATTTTCTTAGTATGCTTTACACCAGAGGACACCACCCCCTCCTCCCTCAGAGCCTCTGGTGGATTCAAACCACCACCATTGGGTTGGACTTGGCCTCCCGACCTCCCATGTGTTACCTGCATGTAATGTGTTAAGAGGGGCAAAGCAGTCAAGGAGAAAACCTACAAGTCTGTCACTGACATCAGAGAGCTCATATGTTTAAAAAGCTCATTTCTTTCTATACAGAAAATAGTTAAGAACCTTTATATTCATGTGTGGGGGTGTGTGTGTGCATTTGCACGCCTTTACTGGACACAGACGATACAAATTAATACATGTAGTATAATCACTCATACACACACATGCATATACACGTGAATGCTGGATACAAATGTACAAAGGTTCTAGAGTTTTTTTTATAAAGAAAGAAGCTTTTTAAATGAATAAGCTTTCTAGCCTCAAACTCTTGTCCAGTTTTTGTTTACTTAGTCTTTTTTTCTTTATTTTTATTTGCTTAGTCTTTAAAATATGTTACATGTAGATTTGATTGCAGAAAGTTAGTATGTTACCTCTTTTCGGTAATGTTTTGATTTTGCATTTCCTTTTCAATACCAGGAAGTAGCCAACAGCCTCGCTAAGCTCAGTGTCCGTGCTTTGAGCCGCCTCGGAGGGTACCTGTCTGAAGACCAGGCCACCCCTGAGAACCCCACCATCAGGAAAAGCTTGGCCGGCATGCTCACACCCTATGTCGCTCGGAAGCTCGCTGTGGTCAGCACTGCTGAGGTGCGCTGGGCTCCGAGGAGCGGGCAGGAGGTGGAAGGGCACAGTGAGGAACCCAGCTCTGCATAGTGCTCCCGGAGGCCTGGCCAGTGATGCTGTCCCTGTGCTCACTCCTGGAACAGTGTAGTGCTGTTGATTGATGATTTAGCGCTCACATCCACTCAGAACCTGTGTGTGAAGTCACACACCCACTCACAGAAACCGTGTACGAGGTCAGTCAGCTCTGTGACTGTCAGCTGTGGACCCCCCCGATCCTCACTGGTCTGCAGTTACCGAGGGATGAGATGAGCAGGGAATTCTGGGTGGTTTTCCCGCAGGGCAGACAACAGGAAGGAAGGTATCCAGACTGAGTGTAGCTTGTCTAGACTGAGGAGTGAAATGCTGGGATAAATGCCCACACGCGCACCTGGTTACAACAGGCGTGCACATGTGAATGACAGAACTCATTGTGACCTGGGCAGATGCCTGGGTTTCTTTAACCTTATTATTGAGGCTCGTCGAGCAACAGTGTAAGAAGTGTTAAGAATCCTGGCTGTGAGCTGGAGTTCAACGTCCTGGCTTCTGAGGCCCATTCTTGCGGGACATTTCCCGAGAGCCATTCCTTCTCGTGGCAGCCATGGCATATGTAACATTTACGACATCATGATTCAGTGCATCAGTTACTCTGACATCTTTCTTATCCATTGTCCGCCTTGCACATGCTTTGTTGGTGTTGTGTACCTTTGGGTCAGAACCAACCCATAGCTGACCTTCCGGCGAGTTTTTTAATTTTTATTTCTTTTTACATTTTTTTTCTTTTTTGTGTGTACCATCAAATCCCACCACTCCAGTCGGGAATAAGTGCTTTTGAGATGGCTAGGTTGGCACAGGATAGAATGGCGTTTAGAGCTCTTGTACATAGGGTCGCTAGGAGTCACAAGCAATTCGATGGCACATAACAACAACAGCCACCACCATCAAATCGGATCTGACTGGTACAGGAGGAAATCGCCCCTCTTCTCCAGCAGAGCATCTGGTGCGTTCGAACCTCCTACCTCTGGGATTGCAATGCAGCTTCTTGCCCGGTGGGTTTTTAAAGGTAGTTGATCACATGGGAGGAGGTTGCCCATCTTTCTTCTACAAAGCATCTGGTAGATTTGAACCGTGTGCCTTCAGGATTGCTGTGCAGCTTTTTATCCCACTAGGCTAGCAGAGCTCCCTCCACATGTATATGAGACGATAGATGATTAAAAAACACCACGGCTCAGGCCAGGCACCCCTCCGTCTGCAGAGCAACATTTGGCTTGACACTTTAAAGAGTTTTCACAGCAGAATGCCGAACGCCGTGTCGTCTGATTTCCTGACTTCTGTTTCCACGGGCTGCAGTGTGCATCCAATGGAGAGAGTCCTGGGCACAGCCAGTCTTCTCCATTTTTCATGATACTGGTGTTACTAATCCAGGTCTTAGCGTTTTTTTAATGTTGAAATGTAATCCCTAAAAAAGCCTGTGGCCTTTGATCTTCAGCGGTAATACTTTATAAAAAAATATTTTTAAAAAAAGTAATACTTTTTAGTCTTCACTTTGAGCAAGGTGGTGTCAGAGCATAGAGCTCGATAAATATGAAAGATTATGTATATTAGAAAATGTAAGAGGAGAATGAAGTGTCTAGGCTTAGACTTTGCAATGCAGTAATAAGGCAAGTACACTGACTGGATAGTTGAGTCCTAACAGTCTGCATACCCGCACGCCAAGCCTCGAAGCAGAGCGAGGCCAGGAGACCAGTCACTCACTCAGTCTCTGCGCATGCAGTCTCTTTCCCTTTCTAAAGTTAGTCTTTGTAGAGACTTGAATTTTTTTTTTGCAAGGAGGTGTGATTCTTTTTAAGCTTCTACTTCCACAGTGGTTATGATGTTTCTATCTCTCAGCCTTGGATTTTCTCCTTGCAAAGAGGGTGGATCATAACACCAGACTTGTTAGAACCAGTGAGATGGGAACTCTTAGTTTAAGTCATCTATCACAATCTCTGTTGTGTAGTAGACATTCTAAATAATTGCTAATTTCTCTTACTGCTTCCTTTTTTTTAAAAATGTTACAAAACAGTAGTTCTCTGTCTTCCAGATCTTGAAGATGCTTAACAGCAACACAGAGAGCCCTTACTTGATATGGAACAATTCTACGAGAGCAGAACTGCTTGAATTCCTTGAATCTCAACAAGAAAACATGATCAAGAAAGTATGCTTCATACTTCTGTTTGAGAATTGGGTTTGATAGAATGTGGGAAGGTCACCTGATAGTTAATAAATATATCTTTACTTTGTCACTTTGTGTTTCAGCCTCTAACTTTTGGCCACTCATGTTTGATCCAAGTAAAAAGAGCCTTTCTTGTTCTCTAATAGGAGCATCGTAGGATTCTTTTTTTGTTAGCTTATATTACAGTTATCTGGATATGTGTACAGATATTTTAACTGGTTTTTACTTTTCTATCTATACTTAGAAAGCCTTGCTTTAGTAGTTTGCTTCACTTGGTTTGACTCCTTCAAGTGGAGAGGCCAGCCAGCCACGTGTAAACGAAGACGGTGGAAGATGGGGAAAGGGCGTGCGCAGTTGATGCACTAGATGCTGGCTGTCGCTCGCTTTAGACGGTTTGTGACTTAGGCACAGTGCGGCTTCTGTTCTGAATGTTCCAGAACTGGGTTGGTTGTCGGTTTTTCAGACTCCTTCCCTTACAGCTACCCAGAAATCTTTATAGATCAAGTTTTTGGAAGCTACATTTCTGGAGAAAAGAGATGTCATATTTTTATACATGGTTTATCTTTTTAGCAGAACAAACTTAATAACGTCACCTCCTGTAGCACAGAACTGTTCTTACTTATTTTCACATATTATTTTGGTCCAATCTAAAACTCCTTATGAATTCCAGCCTAAATCCCGTAAAGCTATTTTTTTCCTTCTTTCTTTTTCTGTCTTGAGTGTTTTTTCTTGACTAAAATGCTTCTTATACTTGATCTTGGACAAAAATGCCAAGAAGCAATGAAAACAGTGTTTGATTGATTTGCCAACCTGTGCATAAACTTGTCTGTTTTTAATTAAAGATCCTGATTTGGGGTACTTTCATTGATGTATTTCTTCTTAAAACCCATTTCAAGTGTGTTTATTCCTCAGTAACTATCACTTAGTTCAGATACCTGCTGATTGGAGTGAGAGAGCCAGACATCACACTCACTTCCTAAAACTTCAGCTGGAATTCTGAAGTGAGGGATAGTAGGAAAATTCAGGCTAAAAACTGCCCTGGAAAGACATTGCCTTGTCTCAAAGATTATGAACGTTAGCAGTGTACCGAATGCTGAGACATTTTTCTGCTGGTTCCATTATTTTGATGAAAATTCTTCATTTTTTTACTTGTGGAGAACCCACCAGCAGAAGCATGCCCCGTTCAGGCGTCTCCACGTGAGGCACCGCGCCTTCTCCACTCTCTGCGCTGTGCGTTCGCCCTCCTCTTCTGAGTCCTCTCTCCCACGTGGACAGTCAGTGCTTGCTTAAGTTTGCTCTCATCTTGTGAGTTGTTGCCACCTTGTCGTATGTGGACAGGAGAGGATGGACAGTCCACCTTGGTGCAGTTAACAGCCTAGGCAAACCTGCCAGAGGACCAGCTGTGTGTGGGTTCTGACTCGATGGTCCACAACAGTCAAGTACATAATGCGAAAAGCAGATGCTCTGTGCTAGTTCAGTGAAAGTGTTGTGTGCCCTGCATGCAGTCAGAGCTGACTTAGAGCTCTCTAGGTTTTTGAGCTGTGAATTGCACAGAAGGGGATTGCCGTCTTTCTCCAGAGGAGCAGCTGGTGGATTCAGCAGTGGAACTCCTTACCCACTCTTTCTCCTGCGGAGGGACTGGTGGATTCGAACCACTTGCCCTTGACTTGACAGTGGAACTCTTTACCCCATAGATCCCGTGAAACAGGACCGCAGACCTTCAGCTGCAGGACCAAGCAGCTTTAGCAGCTGCTCTTGCATGCTGGTTTCTTGTTGTAACTCAGTTACGTTACTAAGTTGAGTGGATCAGTTTACAACAAAAAGTTAATCACTCTACATCTGACGTTCTGTGTTCTCTTTTCTAAAGGGTGATTGTGACAAAACTTATGGATCCGAGTTTGTCTACAGTGATCATGCCAAAGAACTGATTGTGGGAGAGATTTTTGTTCGGGTATACAATGAAGTCCCTACGTTCCAGCTGGAGGTAAGGTCGGTTTGCTCCTGTTTGGAGCCTTTGATCCCTAGTTGAAAGCTCTTGGTTGACTTGTGCTCTGACCGCTGCTTTGGTGGAACTGAACTCACAGCGATCCTGCACTGGGTGTCCAAGGCTGTAACACTTGTTGGGACGACCCTGCCCATCTCCCCTTGGAGTACCTGCTAGACTTGAACTGCCAACTTCTCAGTTACCACAGCATGCAGCCAGTTCCCCAGGACCCCTTATTCATCCTCTCCACATTGAAACACCATCAGTATAGAGCTCTGTGGGTCTGGTGGATAGAAAGTGATGCTACCAAGTCAAAGGTGGGTGATTTTAATCTGCGGCTCACAGACCTGGTTTTATTTGTTTTTGCTCAAACATTCTTAGAAGTAGTATAGCACTGGTTTGTGCATTGCTCTACAGAGGTTAACTTGTGGTTGCTGTGATGCTGAACACTGCGACACTGATGTGCCAAACGTGATAATGGTTACTCATGGTGGACAATGTTTGGTAGAGTACCCTGATTAAAACAAACTTGGAAGCAGGAGTGACATCTACTTCCGAAATAGCTTGCCTCCAGAAACCCTATGAACTTGGAAAAATGATGACAGTTATACATTTGTTCAGGTCTTTTGTTCATAGGGTCACTATGAGTCATCTGTGACTCAAGGGCACTTAACAACAACAACATTGAAATGATAGCTGTTCTTTTGTCTAAAGGTTCATACCCCGCTGGATCTTTGATACAGAAACTGTTGATAACGTCGAGCCTCTTTATTTCTAAAGCCGAAGAGTTAAATGTGTGAAGCTCATGAGTGAGGGTTGTTCTGTGTCCAGCTGTCCGTCATGCCTTATGGACCTGCGTGACTTGTGCTAGTGACCCCAGGTGCAGTCCGGAGCCACCACCTCTGGCCAGTCCTCTCCACGTGGACGCCTCAGTCTGGCCCATCATTTGGAAGCATAAGGAACTGCAGGCTGGGAGCATAGGGGCTTCAGAAGGTAGCAGGGGGTCACGGCAGGGCCTGTCTTTCAGGCTGATTCCCGGTGACTTCTGGAAGTGAGCTTCGAGCCGTCTTGCTCCACGTTGCCTGGGATCGTCGGAGTTCTGTCCGCCTGGCATTTGCGTGGATAGCATTTGGGAGTTGTGGATTTCTTAGGATGGAAGAATGGCCCCTTGTATTCTCTTGCATATTTTTTATTTTTCACTCTCAGGAGTGAGGAAGCAGCTCACAGCTGGGTTTTCACAGCTCGAGTGGGTTTTCTGAGGCTGTAAATTGCACACAAGGGTTCTCACCCATCCTGATCCCACAGAGCCGCTGATGGATATGAACCTCCAGAGAAGCACCTCTGTTTTGGAGTTAACAGCATAACTCTCTGAGCCACCAGAACTCCCTTTTGGTTTGAGAAGGTCTCTTTCCTGGGGAAAAAGAAGGAATTTCTACATGACTGTATTTGTCACAGAATGGTATATGTAATAACTAATTAGCAAAGCGCAGTAAGACGTTTTAATTTATACACTAAATGCATATTACATTTAGTTGTGAAGGCATAATAAAATTGTAGAAGGCATGTATTTAGCTTGGAATATTCTGGGTTCTGTGCCCGACCAGTGCAATAAAACAAGTCACAGCAAAGTCTGAAAGACTGTGAAAATCATTGAAATGACACAGACATGTGAAGAGAGCCCAGAACCCCGAAAAGGAAGCCCCAGGGCCTGGCCAGCATGGGTATCACAGACTCCTCGGGCATGAGCTGCTGTGAGGGCAGAAGGGGGCAGGCTCTGAGCCCAGCACTGGCACGCTGGCCAGGCCACTGTGCGCTGTACCGGGTCCCTCAGGCGTTGGGACAAGAAGAGTTGAGAAATCCTTTCCATTGCAGCTGGCTTTTGTCTCCCTGCCCCTGTTAGTATGCACACTTAACAGTGTTTATCTGTGAAGCTAATCCCCTTCTCACTTTGTCTCCTTCGCCTGCAGTCTGTTATTGCTTATTTCTGGGCTCACTCGTGTTTTCAGCTGTTTCTCTATTGGCTTAGGTTCCGAAGGCGTTTGCTGCGAGCCTGCTGGACTTCATCGGTTCGCAGGCCCAGTACCTGCACACCTTCATGGCCATCACGCACACGGCCAAGGTGGAATCAGAACAGCATGGGGACCGCCTTTCCCGGGTGGAGATGGCCCTGGAGGCGCTGCGGAATGTCATCAAGTACAACCCAGGTTTGTGTCCCCTGTGCCTGACAAGCAGGTCCTTAGAACAGAAAAGCCACCCTTCATCCGGGAAATTGACACCGGGTTTCTTAAAAGCTGTAAACAACAGACTGGAGTCCCACGTCAGGGGACCACTGAGGAGCAAATGCACTGCAGTCTGTTGAAATGAAGGATGATGTGATCTGCGGACTTCCACACTGAGGAGATAAGTTGACACCAAGTGTATTTTGGTGTTTGAGTTCATCTCTGTGAGGGGTTCTTGATTTTGACCCTTCTCTGCTCTGTAGCAGTGTCAGGTCCTGTGGACACAGAACCTTCAAAAGCTGCCAGAGGATTTAGTACTTAAAAATTGGTTTAACAGAAAAGGTGAGACTCTTCCTTCCTAAACATATTTAGGAGAACAGTTACAAAAACTTTACTGTTCTTCCTGGATCTGGGAAGATAAGGTCACAGTCTGAAGCTTCTAGCTTTGGCAACAAATTTAATGCAGCTTCAATTGAATTTATTTCAAGAGTCCAAGTTAGGGTTTTTTCAACATAAAAGTAGTGTTATATTTCAAATACTTTTTGCTTTGTTCAGTGGATATTAAAGTACTTTTAAAATCTGAATTCTGTAATTTATTACCAAAAGTTATTAAAATAAGTAATAATGAAATGCTATTAGGGAAAAGAACTTATTCCCAAGGCATAGTTAGAGATGTTTGAAAGGCAGTTGAATTGGTGTAATGGAACATTAATCGTAGTGCTTTAGGTGCCAAACCACATTGCAGCCGAATAATCTGTTCATTTAGACATTGCTGAGCTGCGCCAGGGCCTGCAGAGGCTGCTGTTTGCTCACGTTGATGCTTCTCCCTCTGGACGGTGCATCTCTGGGAGGGAGGAAGCAGGTCCGTGTGTAGCTGGCACGGTCACAGCGACAGTCACATAATCTGAGTAGTGGGTTTGTTTTTTCTTTGTTTCTTTTTTCATTTTGTAATACGTGTTTTGAAAATTAATTTCAATACAGTACATTTATGGAATACTGTCATACTCTCTAACTTGAAAGGGTCTTAGTAAGTTAAATTATAAAGCCTATAAACATTATCAGTTACATAGTTCTACCTACAGAAGGGAGTTCTGGTGGCTTTAGTGGTAAGGAGTTGCTCTGCCAACCCAAAGGAACATCGTTCGAATCCACCAGTAGCTCTGCGGGAGAAAGATGGGAAAACTTTTCCTGTGAAATTGATTGCCTCTGAAAACCCGCTGGAAAGTCAGCTATGGGTTGGTCAAGACTTGAGGAAACATAGTACCATGTAACAAAAAGAATTATGTTGTATAAAGCATTGTTACTGAGTATTTTTATTTGTATCCAGTAAAAATGGTAATGAATATGTGACATTGGCATTGAAGCAGGTGTTCAGCTTTCTGTATTTGCACCAGAATTCCTTTGTGTATTTCAGTTGGTTTTCCTATTTGGTTGGTTTTTTATGTCATGTTCAGGTGGCACAGTTCTAAATTAAGAGTCAGATGAAGTGGAGCTCTCTCTGTATTTATTTAGGCTGAAGGGTATCCTTACAGTCTAGAGATAAAGAATAAAAGTAGCTATCTGACGCCTTGTGTTTTTAATATGTTTGAATTGTTTACTTAAGTGTTTGGGTTTTTCTTTTTGAGCCTGGTAGGATAGGATGTGTAAACAGAACAGTCCTGAGAAACTCTACTGTATCTTTATCTCTTTGCCTCTTGAGATGCGACTACACCCTTCAGGTCACACTTAGGAATTATTATCCAAGACTTGTAACTGATAGCAGTGTTTACAGTGTATATAGGTGTGTTAGGGAGAACTCTCTTTGGAAGTAAATGTGTTTTTCATTCTTTCTCTCCAGGCTCTGAAAGTGAATGCATCGGTCACTTTAAGTTACTCTTTTCTCTCCTTCGAGTGCATGGAGCTGGCCAGGTGCAGCAGCTGGCTCTGGAGGTAAGAGTGCCGGCTCCAGGCTCATTCTTCCCTACCCTGACTAGATCTGCCGTGGCGCTAGTGTCATCCTCACCTCAGGTGGGCTGGAGGCATCCTGTTAAACCATGTGAACGTTAAAATTCAGATTTCAAAGAGTGAGACCTGTCTAGTGCTGTCGTCTTCGGTCATTGCACATCCTTGGAGTGTCATGTAGTCTGGGTTACAGAATAGGCTTCACACCCACCAGGAACAATGAGTTGGACCCCTGAAGATTCATGCCCTCAAAGGCATGTAGAGGTTGTGGCCCTCTGCTTGGTCCACACGTGGGTTTATGATCCGCTGCGTGGACACTGCCCGTCAGTCCACATGTGGGTTTATGATCCGCAGCGTGGACACTGGCTGCCCGTCAGGGTGGAGCCTGTCCATGCGCCCTAGTAGTTCCCTCCTCTTAGCATCTGCACAACAGCTTTTTCAATGAAGATTAGAAAGTAACCATCTGCTACCTGATATTGTTTATAGTCTAGAAAAGGAAGCTTCCCCAAACCTGTGGGCTTTCATGGTCCAAGAGTTAACTGCCTCCCCTTGGGAGTGAACTGACACCGTTGACGTCCTCCCCTTGGGAGTGAGCCCACCCTGGTGCTCTGAAGAGATGTTTGGGCACAGCCCTCTACTTCAAGGATAGTCCCGTTCTCCTGCCAACCCAGAGTTAGTTCCCAGCGTCATTTCCCTTGACCTTGCTTGTTTCAACACATCCCAGTGTAGGTAGGTTTTGAAAAGTTTACCCCTGCAGGAGCAGATTTGTTAATAATTTATGAATGACTGTATGCGTTAGATTACGGTAATCATCAAATTAGTGAAAAAACCTAGTGTGAAATGTTTTAAAACATTGAAACACCAGCTTCATGAATTTTTTTCAAGTACCTTCTAACATTGAAAGTCAGTTTTGCGATCTGGGACCCATTGCTTTGAGGTGCTGGCCATTCAGCATTGTTGTTGATTGCTATCGAGTCGAGCACGACTCATAGCAACCCTATGAACAAAAGGCCTGAAGCCGTTCTATAACTATCGTCATTGATCAGGGTTCATAGAGTTTCCGGAGGCATGTTGTTTAGGAAGTAGATCCACTCCTGCGAGGCACTGAGGTCGCCTTTGCTGCTGCTGCTTCTGTGCCTCGAGTGAGAACCAACCATAGCTGACCCTCCCGCCAGTTTTGAGAGGCAATAAATTACAGAGGAGGAGATTGCCCACCTTAACTCCCTCAAAGCAGCCGGTGGATTTGAACCACCTGCCTTTGGATTGGCTGCGCATATTGTTACCACTAAGCTGTCAGAGCTCCTTCCCATTTTAAGGAAAATCACGCCCCCTTCTGATGTATAGTGAGTGAATGCTGCTGTGCTGGGGATTGAGAACATTCCTTTTTCTCTTTACGATGGACCTACCCTCTCTGTGCACAGCCCAGGTCTGTGATTAGACATCACTACAGTGTCCTGTCTCCGTACCTTTTCAACTTGTATGCAGAACAGATTATCTGGGAGGCTGAGCTCTATGCGGAGAAATAGAGGGTCAAGATTGGTGGAAGATCTATCAACAGTCTATGATATGCAAATGATAGAACCCTGCCTACTGAAACTGAGGAGGACCTGAAGCGCCTGCTACAGAGGGTCAAGGACTGTAGCCTCCAATATGGATTGAGGCTCTATGTCAAGAAGACAAAGATTCTCACCACTGGGCCAATTTGCAGCATCAGGATGGATGGTAAAGAGGTTGAGATTGTTCTTCAGTTTGCTTGGCGCCACAGTCAACAGTCTTGGCACCAGCAGCCAGGAAATTAGAAGACGTATTGCCATGGGAAAGTCTCCTGTTAGGGACCTCTCCAAAATACTGAAGAGCAGTGGTGTCTCTCTGGAGACTAAGGTGCATCTGATACAGGCCATGGTTTTTGCTATCACTTGTTATGCATCAGAGAGTTGGACAGTGACTAAGGAGGATAGAAGGAGAATTGATGCCTTTGAGCTGTGGTGCTGGAGAAGAGTATTGAGGGTACCATGGACTGCTAGGAAAACAAACAGATTCATTGTGGGGAGGGTCAAACCGGGCTGCTCCTTAGAGGCAAGGATTCTAAGGCTCTGTCTAACATTCTCTGGACATGTTGCGAGGAGGGACAGGTCCTTGGAGAAGGACATCATGCTTGGTAGGGTGTAGGGACAGTGCAGGAGGGGAAGGCCCTCTATGAGGTGGAGTGATTCAGTGACTGGAGTAATTGGGATGGGTGTGTTGGAGACGGTGCGATTGCCACAGAACAGAGCAGAGTTTAGGGCTGTTGTACATAGGGTCGCTATGAGTCACAAGCGACTCGATGGCACATAACAACAACTGTGCTCTTAGCTGAGGGCAGCTCAACTGCAGACCCAGCCGTTGCTGTCAAGGAGATTCCAGCTGCTGGTGCTCATACAGGACAGAACTGAACTGCCCAAGGGCTCAACGGCGCCTTACAACAGCATAGGGTCTGCTAGCCCAAAGGTACAGCTCTGACGGTTCAAACCCACCAGCTCCTTCAAGGCAGAAGGATGGACCGTCTCCTCCATTGTGATTTACAGCCTTGCAAAATGAGTGGAGGGCCAGCTAGGCGTCATTTCAACTCTGCCTCTCCGTCTGCAGGCTGTCTACCACTGCTGGTCAGTTCCCGTCACTGACCGTTAGATTACCAGCCAGCCCAACCCTCGCACTGTAGGACACCTCTAGTATTTGTAATTCTTAGCCTTTACATTCTTAGAGGGCTGATCTCAATTATGTACACATAAGCATTAATACTTCCTTTTCCCAAAAGATCAAAGTCATAAAGCCAATCTTTTACTGTTGAGCTCTTCTCTGAGAATTCATTTCTCCTTCACATGATTTTCTTAGTATTTGGAGCTTGTGTAACTTAATTTTATTTCAGTCTGAAATTCTTTCCAGAGCTCTTACCTCCCCTTACCCATTTCAGGTTGTGAACATAGTGACATCCAACCAGGACTGTGTCAACAACATTGCCGAGTCGATGGTTCTGCCCACCTTGCTGGCGCTTCTGCACTCCCTCCCGTCGAGTAGGTGCACCCATGAGTGGGGCGGGGGCAAGCCTGGTGCAGGCAGGGGCTTACCATGGGGGGGTTAAGTGGTTTCATTTAAGTAGCGTTTGTCTGTCCAATGATTTCCAGAAAGAAAGTTGAAGGTTGGGGCTAGAGAAAAGCTCAGAAACATGGTAAGTTATCAGCAGAGGAAAGAAAAGTCGGGTTTTCCATTTGCTGAGTACCGTCTGTATGTGATCGTCTGACTAGTGCGTGATTTACAAAGGACAGGACTCAGCACTCAGACGCACACTTAGTCAGTGACACCTTGGCTTTCCCTGGAGTTGAGGTCGGCCTAGTGGTATCGCACTGGGATCTGGTGCTCTTCCTGCCGTTCTCCTTCACTCCCCTCCCCTCCACGACAGTTACACCAGATAGATCTTAGGCGCCTGATGAGGGGGAGTCCCCCCTGGGTGTTGGGAGGTGAGGCCGTCTGGATACAAAATCCAGCTGAACTACTGCCTATGAGGCTGAGGCTGGTTAGATCCTGCCGCCTCGTCCTCATTCCCAGTGCAGCCAGGACAGCCCCGTGTCATGGGTCACCCTGTGCGGGGTCCTGGGTCACCCTGTGCGGGGTCCTCGGTCACCCTGTGTGGGGTACGTTCTGCAGCCCTGGGACAGGACAGCTCTATTTCAGAAGTCACCCTGTGCGGAGTACGTCCTGCAGCCCAGGACTGGGACAGCCTGTCTTGTGGGTCACTCTGAGTGCAGTCCATCCTGCAGCCCTGGGCCGGTCCATGTAAGCAGTGGTGCAGAGGCACATCCTGAGATGCCTCTATTTTTCTGCAGGTCGTCAGCTTGTCCTGGAGACGCTCTACGCTTTGACGTCAAGTACAAAGATCATCAAAGAAGCGATGGCAAAGGGTAACCGTGTGCAGTACCTTGTCCTGAGTCCCACTGAGTGCAGGGCGCCTCCTGTCCTCATGAGCTGCTCTACACTTGGGAAGAGACGAGTTCTTGCCGACTGTAGTTGAATGACTCAAATGGCTTTGGGGCAGTACAGTTGTACTTACACTTTTGCTTAAAATAAGGTTTAAAATTAATTCAGCTAATTTGTTACATTATGTTCTTCATGTGTAATTTAAGAACGAATTCTTTCTTCTTTCACAGGAGCATTGATTTACTTACTGGACATGTTCTGCAATTCAACACACCCACAAGTTCGAGCCCAAACAGCAGAACTTTTTGCTAAAATGACAGCAGATAAACTAATAGGGCCAAAGGTAAGGCTGTGCACTGTGAGGTGAACAAGCCTAGAAACGAGAGAACTGTATGTGGGGGCCTGCGGGAGGCAGTGAGAAGGACTAGGAAGAACGCTCGCTCTCTAAGACTCACTTCACACTCACTCTCTTACCTGTGGGCATTTCAAGTTCCCTACCTGGGCAGGACCACGTCTCCTACTGTCTGGCACGTGTAGCGGTCGCTCCACACGGCCTATGTCAAGAAGAGGTTTATATCAAATACACTCTACTTATTGTAGAAAGAATTCTAATTTTTGTTTGAAGCTCTGAAAGAGTTACGAGGTTAGGGTTTTTTTTTAAGGTGTAGAAGATAATGGGCTATGTTTACATGTGTTACTGTCTCTGCCCTTCAGCTCACGTGGGGCGCACCCTCCAGTGTTGTGTTGGGGTGTAGGGATTGCCAGAGAATCGTGGGAAAGGTGAAGTTAGGTCTCTTACTAAACACTGAATGTGCAAGTACTGAGCAGAAACGATTTTGTTAAAGACCAGCACGAAGTCCCGGGTGTCAGGAGGAGGGGAAGTGGCCTCATCATCGGGGGCCGAGCAGTTCTCATGCTCAGGGCTCCTGACACACAGTGACAAGTCTGATCCTCTTCTGCCAAGGAGTGTGTTGTGTTCTCAGCCTGACAGCTCCTTGCTCATTCCATGCTATGGGCTTCACTTATCACGTTACAGATGCCCTCCATGGGAACCAAGGAGAAGTGTACTTTGCTTCTGATGTAGCAGGCACGGTTTTATGTTATGATGCTCTCTGCCACTTCATTAATGTGTTTTCCTTCAGTTCACTGACTTCAGAGAAACCGTGTAGATAGCGGAAAAAAGGGTGACCCAACAGTGTAGAAATTACCTAACATTATCATTGCTATCACATGCAAATAAGATTCTGCTGAAGATTATCCAAAAATGACAAGAGCACATCAACAGAGAACTGCCAGAAGTGCAGGCTGGGCTTAGAAGGGGTCGTGGTACTAGGGATATTATAGCTGATGTTAGATGGATCTTGGCAGAAAGCAGGGAGTACCAAAGAACTGTCTATCTGTGTTTCATTAATTGTGCAAAGGCGTTTGACTGTGTGGATCACAACAAACTGTAGCTGACTCTGAGAAGAACAGGTATTCCAGAACACTTGATCATGCTTATGCGAAACCTATACTTGGACCAAGAGGCAGTC